TTTGGGAAAGCAAGGCTATGTGAAATTGAATGGAAACGTCAGCTCAATTCATATGATTGTGGGAAAATTCGACTACCAGTCCTTCATCACCTTACACGAAATAGTGTGAATACATCTCGTTCTAACTTCACTCACATTCGTCCAACATGTTATATTAAGCTCATCAACCAAACCAGACTTACGAGATTATGCAGCCCCAGTCATGCCTTTCTTTGAGGAGTTAAACGTTAATGACCCTATACTGAAAGGTTAGGACAAGTGGTTTCGTAACTTGACTTACATGCTTACAAGCTCATATCTCATCATCTCAACCATACTTGCTTATGGAATTACGCAATCTCGATCAAGGTTTTGTCTTAGGTCATTAGACCTTGATGATCAGAGTATGACATTAGCCTTTTGATAACTCTGATTTAGGACCGGCATTGCGCATAGACACTAATACACACAAACACACACACACACATATATATATATATACACGCACACACTCGAGCAAAAGTAGTAGGACTAGTATGAAAGATAATTAGCCAAACCCCTCTATTTCTATCAAGGTTTTTAATTTATTTTGGCTTAATTGAGTCTTTATAAAAGATAAGATAGAGCGGGATAGTCTTCTTGACTTAGCGTCTGTTAAAGTGAAACTTTTCCATGAATGAGACCCAGCTCTGATGATGTCCATCATTTGATGGACGAAAGCTCAGCACGTTTTCACCCAAAACGAGGGAGAATGTCTAGTGGTCTGCGTCAACATGAAGATCGTATCAAAGCCAAACGGCGGCAGTACAACGAACTTCATCCGTCCTCATCTAGTCAGATCAACCAACGAATCTCTTCTTCATGCAATTTCATACGAAATTAAGTCCCCGACAATGTTATCTCAGGACATTTATCGACACCCAGTTTCTCTTCGTATATACTAAAATCCACACTATTTTGGTGCTCATATCTTCAACCTGAAATCAAATGTAATAGTTTAAAAATGTCTGACTCACTCACCTCGTCTTTCAGGTTGACTTTGCCACCGAACCGGATTAGCAGCAGAATCACATCGTTGAGTCCCTTCATTGCCGCCAGCATGACTCCAGTGAACTTATCCTAAAATAAAGAGAAAAGCCGAAAGAAGGCACATAACCCCGATTCCATAGACTCGAAATGGGCGACTATTGCCCAAACCAAAGTACCTTTTCCTAGTGGGATTTCATCACCAACAGCCTTGTCAACCCTAGAGAGATGGGCAGACGACAATGTTTCATTTTCGCCTAGCAACAATGGGTCAAGTTACATCCAGATCCTCTTCTAGCTAGGCCGGAGTATACTCACGATCTGTCCGAGATGGATGAAGCAAACACGAAATCCACTGCAGCTTAAGACTTCTAGATTTTTCTGGTCGAATTTCTTCAGAATGCTGGAGGCTAGCCTACAGATGGCGGCCACGCCGACCCTTCGAACTTGACCTTGACGATAAAACGGATCGCTTGTGTGAAGTGGAGAAGCGCTGGATTTGACATAGCCTCGAAATTCCCATATTGGAACTGGTGTTGGTGTTAGATCTTGTGCACGTCTGTCTGCGTGTGCGTGTGTATGTATGTATGCGCATGTATTATTTCGAGTTGAAGGCATTCTATCCATTTAAAAATCACGGATTAACAGGAAATGAAAATGCTGAAGTGAAGAAAGACACAGCCTAAAATGAACAAGTTACAATTCCTGTCAATGTTTTGCAGCCAAATAGTAAGATTTCGAAAAGTTAATACAGAAAATGCATCAATATTCCTTCTAATCTGGGTAATATCAAGCTTAGATTATGAGAAGATGCGATAACGCGTTTATTATTAAGTAATAAAATGGTCAAAATACGTATTTGCACATGTCTTATTTGTAGGCCTGTTCAACCATAATGCGAATGATGATCGTGCCTGGGACTGGAATTTCTTGTGCGACTGTCGTCAGGAGAGACGATCTGGCTTGTAATTCGGATCTTCAGCCTACCTACATTTGCGCATTAAATTCGCAAAGTGGAAGAGTGTAAGCAGCATGTCTGTAGAAGGTGGTAGGAAAAAGCCATTGTAATGAGATGTATTCACCCTATTTCCTACTTTCTTAGGAAAAAGCCAGCCGAGAGTGTGACTAGACTTGACAGATTTTGTTAAAAAAAGCAAGTTAGCAATTGTGTTAGAGAAGGGGTAGATACGAGGACATTGGTTGGGTGAATGTACCAGGACAGAGGTTGGTCAGGGGGCATACTTTACCTGTCTCTATGACCAGTTGTAGGTTATGGCTAAAAACGTAAAGACGAAACGACCGGGATTGTACCAAATCCACTGTCTGAAGCTGTAACTTGTCACGAATTTTATGGCGGAGGAGTCTGGATGACGTAAAATGGTTGCGGAAACGAAGTGAAACCATTTCTCTGCAAATAAAGCACACGACAACCAAAATAGAGGCTACAACATGTTCACTTTTATACCTTCGAGTTAAGCATGTCCTGGAACGGTGGATGGTGAAGATGTGCTCTTCGAATTTGGTCTCTTCGAGCAGACAAAGAAGAACGAATTCGGCCAGGATTGCTCTACGGAAGACTCTGTGAAGGCGTTTTTCCGGCGTGAAGAATGAGGAACATGACGGACGCATGCAGACTAAAAGCCTGAGTGCGATTAGGTTATTCAAGAGACGAGGGAGAGGATAATTGAGTCACGGGTTTGAAGCCTTGGGAGAGGAAGATTGCCAGGCACTAACATGTGCATGGGCATGGACATGTGCATCATCTGTTCTAACTGCTTCAATCGAGGACGGGAATGGAAGGCTCTGAGGCGGCAAGATTTCAGACGGCCAAACTGTGATTTTGCGGCTTAACAGTGGCCAATTGACAAGCTTGTAGGAAAAAAAGAGGCGGCAGAATGTTGGCCAGGAGCTCTGCAAACGGCATCTGGTAGCGGTGGTGGAGTTGATTATGCTTCCACAAACCCACTCGTAGCGACACACGCTTAGACGAGATTAGAGCAGACGAGAGCTCAGAATTGTGTGAATACGTAGATTGGTAATATGAAGTTGAGGTTGAGAGAGAGCGATGCGGGACTAGAAAGTAAAACAGAAAATAGGGGCGAGGAGTGACACCACAACGGCTGAAGAGGAGACTTATCACTTTGGTTGTAACTCTGTGCGTACGATGGCGCCTCCCACTGAAGATACTGAATACGATGCCGGCAAAACGTTTGTGAATGTACTACGATTACTATGGCAAACGACAGAGGACTAGGTACGTTACACAAAGTATTACTGACGCTCCGATCAAGTTGCGAAAACAAGGTCGGACCAACAATATCATAATCAGTGTTTGGCTGTCTGAAGTCTGTTGTGTGTGTGTGTGTGTGTGCTAAACGTTTGGAAATGTACCAAGATTACTATGACAGAAGACACGGAATTAGGTAAGTTCTACAAAATCTCCTAGAGGCTCAGATCAAGTTACCCAAACAAGGTCGGACCAACAATATCATAATCAGTATTTGGCTGTCTGAAGTCTGGTGTGTGTGTGTGTGTGTGTGTTTGTTTGTGCTGAACGTTTGGGAATGTACCAAGATTACTATGACAAAGACACGGGATTAGGTACGTTCTAC